GGGGAGGGGCGATGCACTGTCGGTTGCCTACACACAGGGTTTTTGTGGCGCAAATTGCCTACCTTTCAGGCGGCTGTCTCGCCCCCCCCCCCTTAATACGCGCCTGCTTCACGGAACTAAAAAGAAACAAAAAAAAAACAACCTTTGCGACATCACCACGGCCTCGCCTCCTACAGCGGGGACGGCGTAGAGCAAGTTGCCTATGTATAAAGGATCGGCAGGAACCTTTATGTTCTACACGCTATTTGTCTTCCTCCGTTAGCTGAGGTACACTGTACGACATCCATCCAGATCACTCCACTTCAGGGGGGGGGGGGGGGGACCTGCCGCCGGGCCGGGATCCCCCTTCCCACTCCGAGCAGACACCTGGACCAGTGCCCCACGGGACAGGACACGCCGGCCCGGCCCCCGCCCCGACCGCCTCCGCGACCCGCCAGCTGCGCCAGCTGTCGTGCCAGCTGCGCCAGCTGCGGTGGCTGCGGCAGCTGCACTGTCCAGGCCCAGCCCAAGTCACACGAAAATACCACGAATCATTTCTTTGGCAGTATATCAATTTATCGACCTCAGAATCGACACTTTGTTGAAATTTTGACTTGACTTGGGCTTCGACCTGACATGCTAGCGTCAAACCTCTTCGTACGTTGGAGGTGGATACGAAAGTTCAACTAGACATCTGGTGTTGCACCCTATCGTTCCGAAATCGGTCATTTTCTGGTAGTGTCCGTTTTACTGGAGACGGGCAGCGGAACTGTGGGTGTCATTTGGTGGCCGTAGGGGACATGGCGCCTTACGGGCGGAAATAGTCAGTATAGGCAAACCCGCAACACTGCGGCGTCTGCTTTGATCCACCCGACTTAATCGACAGTCAGCAGTCTAGTCAGAAGTGCCGCACTTCGGCCTGCTGCCGACACGCGGCCAGCCAGAAGCCCCTTTGCTCCGCATCCGCCGGAGTCAAAGCTTTAACTTTAGGGACCAAACAAGTGCGCGCGACTTACGGAAATAGACACAGAGCCCCCGCCGCCCCCACCGCCCTCGCCGCTCTCGCCGCCCCCGCCCGCGTTGTCTCGCTCCCACTCGCACCCTCGCCCTCCTCCCCCTCCTCTCTCTCGCTCTCCGCAGCAGCAGCAGCAACTTCCGTCGCGGTTTGGGGAGAGGGAAAGGGGGGGGGGGAGGGACGGGCGAAACTGAACCATGTGACTGTATGCTAAGTGCGACATGTACACGGGTGGTAGGGTTCGTACACCTTGGCAGGATGTGAGGTCTCTCAGGGGCGGGACAGGCGGGCGGGTGAGGGGGTGTCTCTCTCGCTCACACGGGCCAATCTCAAACTCTCTTCGGAGATGATATAGTTTTTAGACCACCCTTCTGCTTTTAAAAGAAGCATTAAAGCTGGCTTATGCAACCGCTCTCGTGTCCGTCCGTCGTCCGTGTAAGAGGTAGGAGATGAGATGAGAAGGAGAAATTTTCCGCATCCAAGCTGGTGAGTGTAGACGTGCCTGATACAGTGCGACGGGTTCGAGCGGGCCGAATGTCCGCTACATTGGTATTTGATTATGTTCTTCATTAAATCGCGTGACTGAAATGGTCCGGCAGGCCAAGCAAGCCCGCCCTCCCCCCAAACGGAGTTGCCAGCTTCGCTTCGCTGCGCCGGCAACTCCTTTCGGCAGGGGCCGGGCCTGCTTGTTTATATGGCGTACACGACTTGCTGCCCCTGCTGTAAATTTGCAAGTACTGAGTTTTGGTATCTTCATCAAATATTCGACTGCACCAGCAAACCACATGACTGGCAGCCGTAACAGCAAAATATTTGCTGTCGCATAGAAAATTATTTGTTGGAACAACTTAACTGCGGCGGCAGAGTCCCTTCTCTTCGTATGGAAGATAAAATCTTTCGTGGACCCCAAAGACCAGGCACAATCTGCCTGGCCTCTCAGTAAGACCATTCTGTAAATGAAAAAAAATATAACTACTAACCCAACAGTTGCACTGGTTGCACTGGGCATGCGCTTAGCACACTGTTCAAACAGTGCACCTGGAACAGCGCTGTTTAAACAGCGCTTGTTTGGACAGAGTGCTTCCAGACGATGCCGATTCACAAGTGTGGTAAGTACACTGTTGGGATTTCAGTGCCTTGCCAAACAGCGGAGGTACTTAAAATAAACATTGTCGACTTCGGATCGCCTGGGTTCGAACACGGGTGTCCGCGCTACGTTTTCTCTTGCTCTGCATAAGGAAATGCGCGCCTTGCCACCACGCCCTACACGCCGCGTCGTCGCGCCCCTGCCCCGCTGCCCCGCACCACCCGCACACCCCGGATCCCTGAGCTGTAACTCGGCGCCGCTGTCAGCTGAGTTACGGTGTCCTGTCCTCTGCCGCCGGGACGTTGGCGGCTCGGTTCGGGACGACGGGGGCCCCAGCGCGCCCGGCCCCCGGCCCGCCTGCCAGAGCGGTGAGCCCCAAGTGGGGCGGGCGGACGCCGTGGGCGACGCGTGGCAAGGCGCGGCGGGGCGGGGCGGGGCGGGGCGCGGGAAGGGCGCGTGGTGGACACAGTGCCGCTGCACCACGCGTCCTCAGCAGCTCCTCTCGCACCGACGCTGATCGGAAGCGCCCCTCCCAGGACGCCCGAGGTCGTCCTCGCGAGGCCCATACACCACCGCAGCGTCCCCGGCGACTTGTTCATGCAAGAGTCCAGTTTGGAGGATAATCGTGGAGCGGCATCTCTGTGACATTTCGCGATGACCTATGCGCTCGACGTGTCATTTCGATAATTTTATCAGTGAGCACGCCTGCTGGTGCGGTGGCAGCAGCCACAGATCCCTCTTGACGACGCCGTGTTTCAGGTGTTCGATCGCTGGCCGCCCCGCCCCGCCCCCACGTGTCGATGTCCTGGCCTGGCCGTGTCGCGAGGCCTGGCGCGGCGGCGCGTAGCGGCCCGGCGGGAGCGTGAGCACGGAGTGAGTGGGAGGGTCTCATTCATGGCTGCATGGCAGCGGCCCGGCCCATGGCGGCCCCTGCAGGCCGAGCCGTGTCGCTCAAGTAGAGCGCTCTGGGAGCGTCGCTTCGCAACGGCGGCAATTAGAATCAGGCGCGGAGGGGGTGGGTGCTGTCGTCCGTAGTGACCCGCCACGCCGCTTGGTAGGTGTGCAATTTTCCGCAATTTTCTGTACGAAACCCTTGTGGTTAGGGAACCCAGGGGACAATCCCACCCCCTTTCGTGCCGCCAGCCGGACCTTAACCATAGCGCCTGGTTTGAATGCAGTGGAAAGGGACGAGTCTCCCATCCGCTCCGAGATCCGCTGCCATACCTCAAACCGCTATTTCAAACATGATTATACCAGCCTATGGAGAATCCAAAGGAATTTCAAACTTCTGCTCCTGGGTGGAAAGGTAGTAAAACTAATGTGGCACGCTAAAGGAAGCATGGGGTCATTTGGGACGTGGATCGTTAAAAAATTGCGTGTTAACTCAAAAGATAACTCGTTGCAAACTGCATCGACTTCCACGATTGCAGGTCTGCCTGCCAAACGGGCTCCGGTGTGCGTGGTGGGTTCTTCACGGCGACATCGTACCGGCGTCTCCCGCGTACGACGACCTCATGTTTGACCCGGTTATATGTTGTTGTGCGCCGCGCGAAGCTTTGCCGTGTGAAAAATGGCGCCGTGTCCCGAACATGATGGAAAGGGAGTCAGCTGCACCGAGGTGCGCCGCGGCGACGCCCCGCGCCCGCGACCCGCCCGCGTCGCGTCCCGCCCCGCCAACGCCATGCCGCGCCCGCGTGCCTCGGCCCACCCTGCCCTCGCCCACCACACACTCGCCGAAACTCCCCGAAAGGACGCGCGCGGCCAGCTGGACACACATGGCGCGCTGGCGGCGCGGGGACGGGCGTGATCTGCATCGCAGGCAACAGCGGCAGACCGTACCACTGCATCACAGAGTGCGCCCCGCGTCCGGAAAGTACGTTTGCTTTTTCTCAGATTCATTCGCCAAATTTTCTGGAGCTGCGGACGGACGCCTGTGAAACTCGGGGTAGGCCACCCCGCAGTACACGCATGCACTGCAGACAAGATGTTGCCTACCCGGCAGGCGCCAAGAGAGCTTGCTTCGTCTGAACTGCTTGCTTGACACGTTCGCAACGGGGGATGACGGACGAACTTTCTGGATGAACCCTCACGCGCCCGATCTATCTGAGGAAAGATCACTCAGAGTTAAAGTGTGGCCGGTGCAAGCCTGTCCCCAGCAGCAGATCAGCGGGAAATCAACTCTTAATGAATGACAAGCTGCTGGTGCAGCCAAACATACACAGGCGTGCAGAGTGGGGAGACGGAGAGAGAGAGAGAGAGAGAGAGAGGGAGAGAGAGAGAGAGAGAGAGAGAGAGAGCAATTGAAAATTGAAATTGATTTATTTTATTTTTTATTTTACTGCAACATCTCGCCTGCAAAGCATTCGTGTACGAGGGGGCATCAACTTCGACTATTCACGGTGCACCCGCTGGTTAATATCTAATAGGTATTCAGGTGATATTTGCGAATATTCACAAGATATTCAAAATATTCATCGATATTCATC